TACTCCAACTACCCAGAAGTGGAACAGTTGCCTCAGTCAACAAGTCAGGTCGTAGTGGACACACTAGGGACCATGTTTGCTCGCCACGGTATACCCATTGAAGTCTGTACCGATGGAGGACCACAGTTCACATCGCGAGAGTTTAGACAGTTTGCAGTAAAATACGATTTTACTCATACCATATCCAGTCCACACTTCCCCAGGGCCAATGGTCTAGCTGAGAAAGGGGTACAGGTCGTAAAGCGCCTCTTGAAGAAAAGTGAGTACGCTGGCGAGGAGTTCTGGGTTGCACTGCTCAATTATCGAATCTCGCCCCTGATAGACGGACGCACACCAAGTCAGCTCCTTATGGGACGGATGCTTCGGGGACGACTTCCAGACTTCTCATCGGCTTCGACATCGTCAGTGCGGAAACATCCACAGGATCACGGCAAAGGCATACCTCTCACACCTCTCTCCGAAGGGGACGTCGTCAGAATAAGAAACGACAAGGGGTGGTTTCCGAAAGCCCGAGTAGAGAAACTTGCTGGCCCTAGATCTTACATAGTCTGTACAGATGAAGGCCGGCGTTATCGAAGGAATCGTCAGCATCTAAAAAGGACGCCCGAACACTTAGACCCACTGGATGACAAGGATGTCGCACCGATAATCCCGTCGCCTATACAGCATAGACAACATTCAACATCAGATACAGCGCCCGATTTGACAACAGCATCCGCATCACGAAAGGAACGACATCCGTCACAACAGGCGCCTGCATCGGATGCTCTACTGAACCAGTCAGCTGCACGTGCACCACCCATTGCAAGTCAACCATCAAGGGACCCCGACGTGGTCCCGTCCCAGCATAAGGTCACTTGCCAGGCACAAGAAGCAGCCGACTCGAGTCTCAGAAGATCAACTAGGCCACGTAGAGCACCGACGCGCTTTGCCGACTACATCACCTAAAGAAAAAGGAGGATGTACCAGGCGGGCCACCGCTTAATAAATCGGGATGATCCCACCTCACCTGGCCACCTTGAGAGAGGGCGCGCGCGCGGCGCGGCAGCCATCAATAAACAGTCCCTTGCTAGCTAGCGTCTCGTGTGGTTGTGTCTTTGCTGAGCGCGTAAAGCAGAACAGATCCCACATTGTGTGGTGTCGATCAGACGTGGACGCGCTGGTTTATGGACTGTCAATTGCTCTACAGAACCCGTGATGTTACCAGGTGGTCTAAAGTTAGTCGTCGTCAGTGGACAACACGAGGCCTTACTGGTGACCGAGCTTAGAGAAGCGCCAGAGCGGCCAACAGGTCGATGATCGCAGTGTCGTTGTCCTCTTTTTTTCCTCCAGCTTAAGGCAGCCAGCATGTTCACCCATCTTCGTTTTCTTCCAAGGCATACGTAACAATATTATCATGTGCTAGTTGGCCTTTAAAGGCACCCATGGAGCTACTCTTTATCAATGTATTGCTAAAATTGCTTTGCGTTGCCTCCACACTTGTTCTACTGAGCTGAGGAGCCCACAGTGAGCGCAATACCGTCACACCACGGCGACCAAAGGAGCCTGATGGCAGGTCATGTGGAACAGCTCGTGTTTCTCTCTGACAATTTGTAAACCTTATGGCTCGATTTTTAATTAGACACAATATTAATGTTATTATTATTAATGCCAAACACTTTAATTTTGTGGTTGATATTGTGCCGTGACAATTTGTAGCCTTTCAGTCACAGTCTTATGTGCTCGAGGACATGAGCTGATATTATATTTTCGTTTTTTATCTCAACGTTCAGAAAAGTTCTATGTACTTAATATTCGTCATTCTCTGCCACTACGCATTTCTATTTCAGATGATATTTTACTCCTCCTCCCGCGCTAGAAATTTTGTTGCCTGAACTTCCATGAATAAGTGGAACGAAACTTTTATGCGTTCAGAAAAGGCGTTTAAGATTAAAAGTACGTGGTTGGTACTTTACTATGGGAAAGCACAAAGCCGCCCCTGCTAAGTGGTTCTAAGTGAGAAAGGAAGAGAAAAGTGAGCCTCGTAACTGTCTGCTTCAGCGAGCGACACCTCAACACTAGCTCACAAGGGATGGGGGTGAGGAGGGATTAAAAGGGTAGGAATAAAGGTGTAGAGAAAGAGAAAGAGGTGCGAGGTGGTAAGCCAGAGAGCGACGACATATCGATGGGATAGGAGAGATAGGAAAGATGGAAACACGGCCACAGGAGCCCGAGGACGGGGCACCACGAGCCCGGCGAGAGCTCTTGTCGGTGTCAGGAGGTGACGTAGAGCAAGTCCAGTCGGTCATAGCTACACTGTCGTCGGAGGTCGGCGTCAGGAGATGACGTAGGGCCAGCCCAGTCGGCCAGAGCTACGCTGACGTCGGAGATCACGAGGGCACAACCGGTCGGCGCGGAATCCAGCGAGCGACAAGTCGCCCCGGCAACGTTCAAGCACACAGAAGCTCTCCATGTGTTTAGCAATAGTGTTTAGCGATTTAGAGTACTTCGTAGTCAACTATGGGCGGAGCAGTGAGCCGGCCCTAAACCATGTTGGACGTGTTCCAAGGTCCGTCTCATCTGTGTGTTTAGCAATAGTAGTTAACGACTTTGCGTACTAGGTACTCTACTATGGGAGATCATAAAGCCGTGTTTGTAGAAAGAGTTGTTAAAGGGGTCGTGAAACGGTCGCTTTACAACGACAATGCGACACCATCGGTAGCCACATGCGCTAACTTTATCATCAGCCCGAGTGGACCTGCGTAGACGCTTTGCCTATCGAGGAACGCGGAACTATATATGGCATATCGAGCGCGCGGAAGAGGCGCTCATCGGCGTCTGGCATACGCGATCCGCGTCCCACAAGAACGCTGCTTAATATGACGTCAGAGTTCAAGGTAGTGCCGATTTCGTATGGCAAAAAACGCCCATGGGCAACACCGACTAAATTCCCGGTTTCACGCACTCGCAAGTACCGAAAAGTTCCGCGTTCTTCGATAGGCAAAGCATTACTTATGATGACGTCACCTAGTTAGTGCGTGTGGACGCCGGTGGCTTCGCATTTGCGCTTTAGAGCGAGCGTTTCACGACCCCTTTAATGATTTAGAGTACGGTGTACTCTGCTGTGTGTTTAGAAAAGGGGGGGGGGGGGGGTAACGTTTCAGAGTACTACGTACTCTATTATGGGAGAGCATAAAGCCGTCCCGTGCGAGGTTCTATGGAGGGGGGGGGGGTTAGAAAGAGGGGGTAACGATTTAGAGCACAAGGTACTCGACTATGGGAGAGCTTAAAGCCGTCCCGTGACACTCAAGCCATCTCGAAAGTGCTCGATAGCGACCACCGCAGTAGTACAGTTTGTTGACTTTACACTATACAGACACATATTTCTGTCGCAAGTCTTAGGCCCAAAGTTAGAGCGTCCTGATAGTCTTAGTAAAACATTCTGACATTTTTTGCTCGTCCAAGCGTAATGCCTTGAATGAAAACGTTAAGCCTTTAGTTTTTAATTTGCACAGTAATTATATTAGCTCCATAAATTAGTTATAGATTGAACGTATACACCAGAGAGCACAGCTGCCTTGTGCAGGTGAAGGGCACGCATGCCGTGGTTTCGTAAAAGTAGATGACTTTTTTCTTTTCTATTGTCCGGCGAATTTTCTCCGTCCTCGTCATGCCTTGGATGTGTATATGTATATATAAATATTTTGGTTGTAGTCGACTATAGTTGTGCAAAGTCGCCTACAGTGTGAATCCTCCAAACTTTATCTTAAAAAATTCTTCGTGATTTGATGGCTTGTTACAGCTTATGAGGGCCAAGACAAGTCTACTACAATGGAATCGCCCAATTAAAAAAAATACAACTACGAGTTCAGTAGAGCTCTGTGATAGTTACTTGGCTTTAAAGAACAGTGATTTTTACATCCACCAAAGCATATGCGTACGTGGCTCGTTAAATTTTAACATGATATATAACTATTGTTCATTACAATTGTTGCTCATGCTATAGATATTTGAAATTCATGAACAGGTCCACGTCAAACATTAATTGGCATGTATACGTATGCTCACTTGCTATGGTCTCGAAGGGAAGCTGACGACAGGGTTGTAAATAAAAAGATAACATATTATTACACACCGATTGTTTGTTCGAAGGTCGTTTTCAAGCACTAATGTTGCCGGCTGCGAGTCCCTGCTAGTCGTGTGGTATTTTTTTTTAAATCACCTGCGTTTTCTGTCAAGCCACTGAGAAAATAGATGCCGTGTACAAGAATGTACACTCCACTAAAGGTGTTTGTAAACTATAGCCCAAATGAATGTGCTGCAGATATTTTTTCTAGAAAAAATACTAAGCTATAGCAGTTCTGTAAACTGATTTGAATTTATTTACAGGGTATGCAATGCAGAATTGATTATCGCTTTCCTTTCGTGCGGCACCTGCGTGTATTCCAGCGTGTTTGATTCTGAAAATACACTCAAACACAGGTTGTCTCGTTTCCAGTTTTTGACCTGACTCGTAACACGTGGCTTAAAGAGTCAGTCTTGAAAACGTGCACTCGGAATATTTGTTCGGGCTTAGAAAAACCGTCAACCGAGTGGTCGCACATGGTACGCTGCTTGCTTAAAATTTACGTTGACTGTACGCCTACTTGTCGTGAATTATTTGGTTTCCAGTTTTAACTGTGTTCGTAACAGAGGCTGGAATCCATACTCCCTAAAGCGCACACTCTTTTCTGACGCCGTAGTCTGAGTTGTCTCACGCTTAAATACCGCTGCTACCGTGCGATGGCACATACATCACTGCTTCCCTAATTATGCTAAAAGGGCGCCCGTTGTTGTTCGCGTTTAAATTTACGCTGTCTGTACTCTCCTTCGAGGACAATGTTCGTCACAGATGACAGACGAATGACAGCAGCAAACACAGATGATGATGATGATGATGATGATGATGATGATGGTGATGACAGTGATGACGATGATAATGATGATTGCAAGATGGACGTTAACGTCGCAGCCTGACTCACCAAAGTGTTCATGATTCGGAAGGCTTGGAAGCGTCGATACGAAGACTTCTCTAAAGATGGCTTCAGAAGAGGATCAGTTGTGCGGTCTGGTGTGTATGTTTGCGGTCTAACTTGTAAAGCAAAGGAGCACGAACTTCTTATATACGTGTATCGAGCGAGAGTGACCGACCACACTCGTGACCCCCCCCCCCATCACATGATTCCCCCACCCATCGATTTCCTCCGTACGCCTCCATAAGCCGTACCCTTCTCCCTTGCCCTAAGGCCGCTACCACCACTACGGTATTCCAATATGGAAGTGCACCCTGGTAGATACAACCAACGACCGTAAAAAGAGAGAAAGTCGCGCTTTCGTGCTTCGTGATCCAGAAGGAGACGCTTTTCACGTACCAATGCCGTATCGTCCACTCCATCGAGAGCACGTTCAATGAGGCGTCGCCAGTAGTCCCCGCAAAATGTCGACGCGTACAGCGCTCTTCCTACAAGCAGAACTCCAGGCGGACCCAGAAGTAAGAAACGCGTTCACTAACGTTGGCCACACGGGGGCGCCTCTCAACGCCTCACGTCGACAGGAGGGAAATACCGTTTCGTGTATATGTATGGAAGCGTTTCGAAAGCACAAACGTACAACGTAAAACAGAGATGTGCGATCAAGTTTTTTTCACTTCTTTCCGCAAACGCACACGCACGCTGGAGAAAGAACGAAAAGAAAAAAAAAATTAAACTTGTCACGTGTCTGTTCTAAATTTGACTTTCGTGAGTGGATAAGCTTCTTCGAGATAACAAGCGCACCGTATTGGAAGTGTGGGGCCAATGCCGTTCGGTGCATGTGCTGCGCTTTAAAAAACTCAGAAACGTGCAGCATTAAAGAAGTGGCTTTAGACGCAAAGCTACGCGCTTCTGTCGATCGTCTGCTGCTGCGGACGGCGAGCAGACGACGCTCCTAAAATATGCCAACTAAAGCATGAGCGAACGCATCTCTGTGATGTGGAAGAGGTAATAGGGCATCTTAGCAGTGGCGGTAATAGAACACCTGAAGTACGGAAACGTCGTGCTCTCGTGGTTGGCATGCCGTTTTTTTTAAGAGACACTGAAGACGAAAGCAGTTTTCTCGTACGCATTAGTAAATTGCTCTTACGCAATTTCAAAATGTTCACGCTTGTGACAAGAACACATTTGGTGAGAGAGAAGACGCACGAATAGAAAATGCAGATGACAACGCCTCCTTGAAGATGCATGTACTAAACGTCGACACAACGTAAACTTTAAGCCCCGCCGCGGTGGTCTAGTGGCTAAGGTACTCGTCTGCTGACCCGCAGGTCGCGGGATCGAATCCCGGCTGCGGTGGCTGCATTTCCGATGGAGGCGGAAATGTTGTAGGCCCATGTGCTCAGATTTGGGTGCACGTTAAAGAACCCCAGGTGGTCAAAATTTCCGGAACCCTCCACTACGGCGTCTCTCGTAATCATATGCCGGTTTTGGGACGTTAAACCCCACATATCAATGAATCGACATATACTTTTACTACACTCAATAGGTCGTACATTGTTCCTAACTGGTGAAAATGAAGTACATTATCACCTGAAGGACCATATAGACATGACTTACCAAGTTTAAGAATAAATGGAATATACGGTAGATAAGGAAAAGTAGGGAGGTCAGCCAGTCCACGATAACCGGTTCGCTACCTTATCACGTGGCAACAGGGTGGGGGAGACTGAAATAAGGGGAGGAAAGAGACAGAAAATTAACACATCCAACAGCACGTGCACAAGTACCTAGTCAGTAAGAGTCCATCAATCTGGTGTGCAACGCGACATCACCGTCACAGCAGCTTGTCCACGCTCGTCTTCCCCAAAAACCTCGGCAGTTCCTTGGTCACATTCAGCTGCAATGTCCTTCGTCGACGACATGGTAGAACAGACTCAACAGACATTTGTCTATTGTCAAGGCGCGTTCTAATGGACGCCAGGGAATGTCTCTGCACATTACAGACAGGGCAGTCGCGCAGAATGCGACGTATACCGTCTTCTCACAACCGCAGCCATCGCAGAGAGAGTTGTCGGCCATTCCAATGTGGAAGGATTACGATTTCATGAATGTCACCACTAACCACAAACGATAAAACAGCGTGGCCTCTCCTCGGTGAAGCCCACTTAGCATATAGAGATACATCAAAGAGTGCGGGCGGTGTTGATCAGTGTTCCAATGGGTCTGGGTGCTTGTTGGACACCATAGAGAGAACGTGATCTCCTGCGCAAGCCCTTGAAGACTCCTGGCCACGTCAGACCTTGCAAGAGGTATGGTATCCTCACGTGTGCCGTCAAAAGCAGCCCGAGCGGCATTATGGGCGTGTTCGTTTCTTACGACGCCGCAGTGACTTGGAAGCCACCGAAACGTCACGTGGTGCCCTTTCTCGTGCGATGTGTGAAGAAGATGCCGGATTTCATGTGCGAGCTGTTCGGCCCGCGACGCAGGGCTGATTGTACGGCTCCCTTGTATAGTCGGTGAATATCGGCTACTGTTCAGGTGGGTTCCGATATGACTTAACAAAGTACAGCGCCCACTGCAGCTATCTCCACAGCTGTCGACGTCGTGCAGTCCTAAAGCTGAGGGTGATAGATTTTGCTGGGACAACCACTGCACCGGACGAAAACTGGAGGTTTGTGGAACCATCAATGTTGGTTATATGTACACGGTCCGAATACCCTCTCGTGCAAAAGAAGCAAATACAGTTGATTCTGAGGTGCACTGTGAACCGAATAAGGCGCCAAGGGGGCATCGATGATTTAGATACGGTGGAGCCAGAGGGAAGTTTGTCGTTGTACCTGACAATAATTTTAGCGAACGATGCTTGGCGTCTGTCTGAAGGCAGTGTGACAAGGTGATGACAGGAAGCGCGTTCAAAAGGTCTGATGTGCGTTCTCGGGACTTCGGCCATAAGGTGAGACTGCATTGAATGGTCATGAGCAATCGCAATAGTCACCTCTGCTGACGTACATGTGGGCGAACCAAGGCACACTCTGTGTATAGGAAAATTTTGTTCAACCAATCTCGTTGAAATAGGAAACAAAATGCGATTCAAAATCCGTGACGTCACGTGTGGAAATTTCGGAGTGGAATTTAGATATGGAACTTCCACCTTGATCATACCCTGTACTAATAAGCGTAATAAGATAAAATTAGCTACCTTGCAGTTCTTAGAGTATACTCTATCAGTCAGAACCGATTTATTGTACAATTTTAATGCATCTTTAAAAACTTGTTATCTGCATGAGTTGCTCGTTGCGTGTTCTGATGTGATGAGATGATGAAGATGATTATGATCGTCATCATCATGAGAGTGATTACGTCCACTGCAGTACAAAGGCCTCTTCCACGTTCCGCCGGTCAACTCGGTCCTGTGCTTGGTGCTGCCACTTTATACCCGCAAACGTCATAATCTCATGTGCCCAGCTAACTTTCTTGCTAATTGATATCTTCTAGACTTAAACATAGGCACGTGACAAGCACGAAGGTACGGTGTTTCCGTACGCACTGTGTTATCGTTACTGCGAAAAGACCCTAACAAATGTGTCACACCAGAGACGTACGTTAACGGCTCTCGGGCATGTCATCCGCCATCCTCGCAATACGCAAAAGGAAAGCCTCAAAGATTTGGAGCTGTTACTGTAAACCACAGTGCGCAATGCCAGGTTTCGACACCAGCTCAATAGCGAGCGTGACATTCTTTCTTTTCTATCTCTCTCTCTCTCGTTATTGCTTATGGCGCAGTACGGAAGCATGGCCTTCAAAATTAACCGATGTTGAAGTGAGTGACTCATCTCTCGGAGGCTTTGATTATACCTACCAACTTTGATACGCTCCGTGTATACGCTCCCACAGCTTCTGCAGAAGTTATTGCCTATGCGTGTCGTGAGGGGCCCTGCAACACATTTTGATCATGGTAAGAAAACGCTGCTGATCGGTAGTATAGAGGCTTCCGACAACGCGCAAACCACAGCACAGCACGTGGCCTGGAATTCACAATACGTTATCGAAGTCAGCTGAAAATGGCTTTCTCTTCTCTCGACAAATCACGTTAAATGCCCAAAAATCACACGTCAAAGACCCATCTATCAGCCATTGGCTGATTTGAATATGGCGCGCTCGCTCGCTACAGAGATCGCCGCGGGAGGCCGCTACTTGTCCTCGCGTGCGCACGCGATTACACTGACAAACCGCGCATTCGAAGAAAAAAAAAAAGAAAGAAAGCGCTCAAGGTCACGAAGCTAGCCTCACGTTTTTCTGTGGGCCTGCCAACCCTCTTGCTTAGCTTCCGGCGCTTTCGTCGGGACGAGAGAAGAGAGAATGCAGTTGCAGTGTGGGACAAACCTTTGTAACTCCACTCGCACTGGACTGATTCTTAAAATTTTTGCAGCCTTGAATTAGTGAGGCAATAAGCTCTTGCAGTAAATTCATTCCATGGTTACTTGAAAAAGTGTTTCAGGGATTCTTTAAAGTTCACTGAAAAGAAACAATGACCTAGTTTAGAATGACAAAATTGACAAACTGCTCTTTGAGAATTTTGATTCCATATATCATAAGCTCATGACTAGTGGAAAAAAATCAATGTCGAAGTTTCGTTTGTTTTTTTCTTTAATTTCGCACCGAAATCTCCACGCGTGAAGTCAGTAAATTCCGATATGTATTTTTTCATGTTTTCGCGACATCGGCTGGATTAAATTTTCTGAAAATTCGTATACTAGGTCAATGGCACCCGCGAATGACTATGTGCTCCATTTTCATCGTTTAGAAGCTACGTAGTACACAACACACGCCTTTAAAATCTATGACGTCATGATGTGCGCGAATCGGAAGGTGGCGTGACCAGCCGCATTTTTTTTCCCCGGGCGTTTTCTCGGTTATCAAGCGTCGTGTCGTGATAAGGGCGGTGTTTTAAATCGTTTTGCTCTTTAGTGTCCCTTTAAGGCTTTTGTCCAGTTGCTTTTTTGTTGAACGAAACAGACGGATATGTGTGGTTATGTCTACAAACGTATAATAATAATAATAATAATAATAATAATAATAATAATAATAATAATAATAATAATAAT